ATCATGAAGATAAAGTGCAAATTCTTTTTTGTGATACTTCAGTTTCAAATACAGGTCGTATCAATGGTGCCAGCGTACTTCTAGGACAAACACTTGTTTGTCGCCATCACGTGTATGAATTGGTGTTAAAAAGTGTTTTCAAAGTGAAGTCAGTTGGCTATAAGCCCTGATAGTCCATAACGATAGTCTCAAAAACTTCCGAGATAACTAGAAAAGTGTCGATCCTGATAAAATACAGTGCTATAGAGAAAAGCTAATATCGTCTCTATTTCCAAAATTGGCAATATGTTTGCGTTTTACCAAACTTGACTGAGAAAAGAAATAGTCAGAGCTGACTATCGAAAGTTGGCAGTGCTTTATAATTAGACCAAGACAGAGAGAAAATTTAAAATTCGACCACCAGGTGCCATACATCCTGCGCAACGGATGGCGAGAGCAATAATGTGAAAATGAAGGCTAACGGAAAGGTTGATAAAAGCATCTTGAAGGCAGCTTCAACTTGCATCTTCCATTTGCATCTTGAAGGAAGTATAGATTAATCCAGAATTTATGGTATTTGCTTGATGAAATGCATTTCTTTGACGATAATGTGTACCAAAAAACCAAAGTAAAAATGGTCGAAAATGTAACCAATGAAAATGTATCAAATTATGGTAAACGTTACATTCCAACACATAAAGAACTTTGTGGTCCTTTATACGAGAAAAACATGACTTTATTTCGGTCAAAAATAATTTTTTTCTTTCAATATCTCAAAATTAATGACAGTTTTCTCTACGATGATCCCACTTTCTGTGCAAATAACGCTTCGTTTGAAGGAGCTAGAAAGATTTCAACCTTAAATCAGTGAATGATTTAGCAGACAAATCGCTTACTTACGTGACACGTGCTCTGGCTATGCTCCAATATTTTACTATTTTTTACAGCTTTACTACATCTTTCAGGTACTATTTGTTGTTAAACTGTTTTCTTTACTTGTTACAGATAAGCTGAAAGAGATTTATATTGCTCGAAGCCGTGCAAAATAATAAATATTAATTCAAAGACGGTATAATTGACAAGAAGTGTTTCTGAACGAGTTTAAAAACTTCCAATACTTATTTTCTCAATACATTAATATGTTATTGCGTGAAATTTTGAACTATTAGTGAAAGTGTTGGGATAATTGTGAAAAATATCCAAATTCAAAGTTTCCTTTATAACAGTATCGGAAAAACTTAAATCTTTATGTTTCAAATTGTCGAAAATAAAGGGGGTGAATGTTTGGCTTTTCGACAGGTAAAGTATAGTAATCTAACTGTATTTATTAGTTTGCAGCTTAGATCTATTACTTTAAACTCATTGAACTTCTTTCGCATTTAATTAATCAATCACATTTAAATACTAATTAGAAACTCATATCTGTTATTTTTCAAATAAATACGTAACGTGAATAACTTAATACACTTAAATTAAAAGTATATTGGTTTAGGAGATACTTTTTACATTAGTCTGAGTTCTCATGTATTTATTTATTCTCATATCCATGCACATTGATACGAATTCGTGTCATGGCTACTATTCATTATACACTTTCTACTCTGCACACTCTCAAAGCTGACATTCTGAAATGCTTCACACACATAAACAATAATTTAGATCAACATATCCGAAGGCTCGAAGACGTCGTTCAAAACAGACGGTTGGACAACAATAGGCAACATGGCAGAAGGAACAAACACAAGTAGAGTTGCACAACCTGGTCCACAAGGAAACAAGGACATTCCCTCTGAGCTCATCAAAAAGATACTAATTTTAGCTGGTAAAAATACTCTTCCCTATTCAGTGGGAAACTCTGATCTAATTTCTCTGTCAAGGGTGGATTTAAACCTAACGGGAGGTTTGCCGTCGTGACCAGTGAGTTGGACACCCACACAAAACCTCTCACCAAACGGGATACAGTCATCGTCATTGGAGGGCAGAATGACATTAATTTGGGTGGTCACTTATCTTTTACACCTGAGCAACATGTTGACAAACAACAACGTGCCGCTCGAATCACGAACATTGTAGTCTTGACTCTGCCCTTCTGGGACAACAAACCATCACTGTGCAAAGAAATTAGACAACCAACCAATTGAAACTGCATCTGAGAGACACATATGATAAATTATTTAAGAAACTTTCTCTCAGAAAGACATTTCACACGATATGGTCTTCATTTGAATTTTGTCGGAAACCATGCACTCGGTAGCGAACTGAAAATACAGCCTTTCACAACCTCGGGAGCATCCTGCCTAACTCCCATCTTCAGCCACATCCCCTAGTTCTTTTGCATCTTCAGGGACCTCTTTGGACCCAGTTACCTTATCCACTGAACCCAATCCTTATTCTACCTCTCCCATTATCCATTCCTCTACATCTGTCGCCGTTCCTCCCTCAACTCCTGTCACTGCTGGGACAAGATACTTCCTTCTACCACGCACTCGAGGTAAAAATTTAATAAATAAACAAACAAATAAATAAATAGCAACTACAGTTAAATGCAGCAGAGAAACATCCGTGTAGGTACATGCAAAAGATTCGAATAATGCATCACACTGTGCAAATATCTTTCAAATAAAATTGAATTGATCGATTAGGCATTACAGTGTGATCTAGGTCAAAAATATGTTTTTTGCTTTACAGAAGATTTTTGCCTCAAAATGATATAAACTCATTTCAAATTCCTAGTTTTTACCTTGCAGCATCATATTGTAGAGTAAGGGAATCAAACATGGGCCCAGCTTACGGAGGTTCGTGAATTTACGTAAGAAACGACATTTATTCTACCTTTTTGTCAAAATTCAATTTATATGCAATTGAAAAAGGTTTTGAAATAACAGTCGTACATCTTACTATGTTCTAAGTTATCTTGCATTGTATCTACAGACTTCCAACAAAACGAGCTTTAGATTATTTCATTTTCTTAGAAAATCTAGATAAAACTCTAAACCAAATATGTTATCTCTTTTAAATCCATTGTTGTATGCAGAGATTTCAACATTGATTTTCTGAGTGAATCTCAGGAAAAAGAGCGTTTTTTTCATTTACTTCATTCTTTTAATTTAGATATTATAGTGAATGTACGTAACGGAATATATTTAAATCACATAAAGCACTGGTTCAAATTATAATTAACAAAACCACAACTAGATATGTAACACTTACAAACGCCCTCAACGCTTCGCGATTTTTGGAGTAATCCTCCATTAATTACACAGTCATCTCAGTAAGTTGTTAAGAGGACCGCCAGATAGCATCTCTGTGTACGCACCTCTCTTAACCTCTCTTACGCGCTCCTGCATCTCTACCCAGCGGTCAAAATTAGGAAGGAATAAGCATAGAGATAAGGTTCTTCGACGCTTCACAGGAGTGCGACTAGCCCCCGTGAAGCTAGCAAATTCCTTTTGTCGTAACAAATTTCACATTTCATATGCAAATGCTTTCTATAAATGCTTTTTCAATTTTATTATTAAAAAATTATTTTTTAACTATTTGTTGTTCAAATGTTTTGAAGAGATTCTGGAACTCAAGAAAATGTGCGCAGTTGATTTTCTCCCCCATACGTCACATACAGCTTTTACTCTTTTTGACTAAATAACATAATACATATAACTCATAATATATGGCATGAATATTTGACATGAATAGTTTGTTTTGATCCACAGCGCCATCTAGTGTAGTTACAACAAAATCAACCGCACATAAACCTTCTTCTGGGTGACTTCTGGGTGAAAAGAACTCGTGCCAACTTTCATGGAAATCGGCCACACCGGTGACCGCTCTTATATATACCAACAACCATGTATATATAAGATGTTGGCATATGTATGAGAGGTTAATATATATATATATATATATATATATATATATATATATATATATATATATATACCCAGAAGGTTTATGTTCTATTAATTTTGTTGTAACTCCAATAGATGGCGCTGTAGAACAAAACTAAATATTCATGTAAAATGCAACCCGCAATCCTCGGCAGTATTTTTTTAAAAATCTGTATCGTTAAATAACTCGCAAACGAAGCATTCTATGCCATTAAAAACTAAAATGGTGAGGACAAAGGCCTCAGAGAAACGTTTCTCGCACCGTAATCTACGGGATGCGATCTTCTTGAACATTCTAGTACATTTTTGCTGGTCCGCGCTTCTCGACATTACCCTACCTGCTCCGAAACGTGCAGAATCTGCAACTAAACGTGAATGAGAGGGTCAGAGAGAGGCAGAGACAGAAAGAGAGAGGCACACAGGGACCGAGTTAGACAGACTGAGACAGGGGCAGCGAGACGGAGAAAGAGACACGGTGAGAGATTGGGAGAGAGAAAGAGAGAGGGAAGGGGAAAGAGGGAGATGAGGGTCTTGCCGGGTTCCAATAGTATTTTCTATATATTACATAGATATGATTTAGACATATTTGTGAATTATTTTCCAAATGAGCATTTATTTATAGAAATATTTCTTGGTAACGCAGTATAAACGCTCAATTTTAATGTTTGGCATCAAGTTGGCACGGGTTATCCATATCCAATCGCAATAATATTCATTATTTGAGTTTGTGAGGTCAAATACAAACAATATAGAGGGTATGCGTATCTGACTTCGCGAAAAAATATCTCTCTTATGGTTTGGGACTCTTTAATGGATAATCTTTCCCTGCGTATACATTGGTACAATTTTATAGGAACTTGTATCTCTATAAATATTTGGAGATGTCAACATTTGTATACCATTCAGACATTACGTGGAATGAGACTGAGCAATGATGTGTTTATAACAACCGTTATAATAACATTTTAGTTTTTTAAAAAATTACGCGCTTTTTTTTCATTTCACAGACAATCAAATATTTTATCTAAATCCACTTTTGTAAGCTTTTTTCAGATTTCCTCTATTTATTTGCACTTGAATTGTACTACCATTCCCACATTTTACTGTGAATAACTCAAATGTCCTCTGTGTACAGGTGCAGGTACAGGTGTATACGAAGGTTCTCAGGGACAGACCCAATCGCAGCAGCAATCACAAACCCAAGGTGCGCCGTCTCAGACTTTGTTCCATCCGCCACCTTCAAGAAGACAACATTCAGCTCTCAGGGCCAAAGCTTTGGAAGGAGAGGGTCCGTTTTCAAATCACTGCCGGAGTTTTGATACTCAAATAAAGGTATTTATTATGTGTTATTAAAACGTCTTCTTATGAATTTTGTCATCGGAATTACTGTTCTTTCAACTAATCCAAACTTTCATTTTTATCAAGGGCATATTTGGGGAATTTGTGACGTAAAAGAGGCTGCATTTTTGTGATGTAAAAATGTGTTTTTCTTGTATATTATTTTCAAAACATCTTTTGAAAAAGTGAAAAATGTATATCGAGTTTTGTAGTGTTTTCTAAAGTCATTGATGTGAGTAATATCTTCTAAATAAAATGTTATACAAGTTGCAGAAAAATGTGGGGAGACAAGGACAAAGTAGTCATCAAGTTAGTAGACTAAGGGTTAAGAGACTAGTAGACTAGTAGGTTAAGTGACCATCCCTTTACATAGAACTGTCTTTTACATAGAACAACTTATAACTTTTACATAGAACTGTCTGCGCGTTATGTATAGTGTACATGTCATTAGTTTCCTACGTCATTAAAGGTTAATTAGTTATGGTTAATTTAGGTCAATATTTCTACTACCTTTAAAGAAATATTTGCTTGCGAGAGTTAAAATATAAACTCTTCTCGAAAAAACTAATAATTTCAACATTTTAAACAGTAAAAAATGGAAGCAATCGTGTCAGCTTGACACTAATTAAAATATTTATTAATTGTATGAATAATCAAACATGAAATTTACGTTTGGGGTAAAATGATATCCAAGCGACGGTTGCAAAATCTTCACAACAACTTGCGTTTTTATTATCACGAAAATTTCACGAAGTGTCTGTTACGTAGGAAGTATTATGGGATTGAATATTTTGTAAACTCTCATCAAGCATTATCTTAATACAGATTTCAAATATGAATTAATCAACTACCATCAATTTTGCACATTGTTTAATCATCAAATGTTTACATTTATTATAAATGAAAACATTGTTTTAACGAATATTTCAAACGAAATGAGGACGAAGGGAAGCTCTTGGGGAGCAGAGACCAGAAAGAAATAGGACCACGCGAAGAGAAACAAACATTTTTAGAAAAAAAGGATCAATTTTCTCGAGAGCAAAAATGATCGATCGGGGTTCATTGACCCAAAGGCTGAGGTACAATATTTGTTCTAGGCATATTTAAGTGTTTTAAAATTATACAGTACAAATGCTAACTAATGCATCGTATATCGTTCAAATCAATATCATTTTACATTTTAATGCTCAATATCTATTACAAATTTCGTATGCGCGCATAAATTAAGAGAAAACTAAGCAGCCTATGGCCATGTGAAAGGGCGAAGTTTTTTTTTGTTTGATTCTCTGTATGTCTCAAAATACAAAAGCAATTAAACCTTTTAGATGTTCATTGAAAAATGCAAAGAAACGAAATATGGTTCTGCTCAGCGCTCGGCTAGGGTGCTGGGTCTAGCTCATTGTACCTATTAGAATCCACATTACTAATTTTGTATGGATGAAGAAATAAAAGGAAGACTATGCTGTCTCCTGCTATGTGATGTGTCTATGATTTCGTTTAATACCCAAGAACTCGAGTAAAACCCAACGACGATGAAACAATTTCGATAGTGACTGAAAAATCTCCAAATATACAAGTACGATTGTGTCGTTCCTCCTATTCTTATTCTCCAAGTACCGTAGGTCTACGTTTCTGCTTACGACGAGCTAACGTCATCCGACAGAAAGGCTCCAAAAATATTTATTTTTTTAATTTTTATTTAATAGATAATTATTACAAACGAATTAGATTACTTGATCCTATGTGGCTAGGCCGAAGG